TACAGCCGCCAAAAGCTGGAAAAAGAGCATCTCATTTTTAACTACCGCCTTTTAAGAGCTAGGCGTATAGTAGAAAACGCTTTTGGAATTATAAGCAGCAGATTTAGGATCCTTCTAAATACTATATCCTTGCAGCCAGAAAAGGCTTCTGTAATTGTTTTATGTTGCTGCTATTTACACAATTATTTGTCCAAGGAGAATGCCCGAGTTTATTTGCGTGGAGCAGCAGATCCCGACAAAATGTCTGACCAGCAAATGGACGATTTGAAGCCGTTGAAAGGCAGTAATTATACTGATGATGCCAAAGAAATTCGCGAACATTTTCGCGAATACTTCAACACAATTGGAGCAGTACCTTGGCAAAATGACCGCATTTAATATTTTATATTTTTCTATATGTATACTTCAAACTTTGCTAATAAATATATGTTTATAAACAATTGTTTTTATTCTAAATATACTTACTATTTCAATTTCAAAGCTGTCGTCAAATGTGTTTATTCCGTCAACTGAAGTCTCCTGATCTTGAAGAAAATTCAGCTGATCGAAATACCATATGCTGGGTTTGTATACGTCGTCTGTTCCAGCTCCAGACTTTTCGCTCCTTTTAATTTTGTGCAGTTCCCGTCTATATGATGCGCGCAACGAATTCACTTTTTTCTTCACAGTTTCAATGGATGCATGTTCATCCACATTTTTATATTTATTTAATAAAACTTCCCACGATTTGTTTCTGGCATTTTTATTTTTATATATGTCGCTTTTTGTTTGCCACAATGCTGGTTCATTTTCCAGGCAATTAATAAATTCCAATAAAAATTGTTGTGACATTTTAAGCACGTCTTCACTCTAAAAAAATATTTTTCAACTGATGTTCGTCGAACACTGCCATCCACTGTGTCAAATGTTCGTGCGAACACAAAAAAGATTGAAACGTTTTAATTTTTGGCGAACAAAACGTCGAACACAAAATTCACTAACACCAACAAAAAATTCACTAACACCAACGATGTAAACAACACATGTTCGTCGAACAAATTCGTCTGTGGATGGGCTGCTTTAGGATTTATATTTTCGGCATCACCCTGTAGTTTTCTTTGTAAATTTACATCAATTTGTTCAATCGGAAATATGAGTGGAGAAATTTTAAACAGTTCCCAAAAATCTATTCCGAGGTATAAGTCCTGTTCCAAATCAGGGCATAGGTACAGGGACATTTCATGGATTTTGGTTTCGTATTCGACATTAACTGTTATCTTTCCCAGTACCCTATGTCTTTGTCCAGAAGCAGTACTGACATCGGACATGTATAGACTGACTTCTATACCTAAATCTTCCACAATTTCCCTACAATTTTTTCCTAATATACTGACTGTGGCTCCGGAATCGAGGAGACCTTTAATTGGTTTTTCATCGATCTTCACCGTTGCATATGGCCTAGAATCTTTATAGTTTTGAAACTTTCTTATTGCTTCTATCACTGACCTTTTCCGGTTCTTATATTGTTTTTGTTTTTCTCTTTTCTGTTTTGATTTTTCTTGATCTGATTTTTTAGCTTTTCATTAGAATTTCAGCATCCGTTGAATATTGCCTTGTCGTCTATGACCTTTTCGCCAAAAATTCTAGCTTTAGTTTTATTATAATTTTCTTCCCTAACGGTTAATGGTATATAGTGGCGGATTTTATGAGAAGTCTTTTCATTGTTATGGGCCTGCTCTACTTTGGCAGGAGTTTCTGAGTGGCGGGTTGATCGGCGGAACGATGGTTCCCCGCTGAAACCATGTTCGCATTCCGTTCTACATTCACTACATTTCGGAGTAATGGTGTTTGGCTTACCACATTTAAAGCAAAATCTATTTCTGTGTGACGCAGTGCAGTCCCGAAATACATGCCCAGGTATTTGACAGTTCCAACATAATATAGATGTACTTATAGCGGATAAATCAAGAATTTCATTATTTTCCTCCAATAATTTACCATCGTTATATTCCACTTCTTCCTGGAGCGCGTTTATTTTAAATGCTTTGTTTACGGTCGGATGTAACATCGGGGCTCTATCCCTACGAAATAATGTTCTTTCAATTTCAAGACATTCTATTCGCAGCTGTTTCAGAGATGAGACTGGCATGGAATATACTATAGTGGACAGGTTTTTCTGCAGATTCTTTTTCACCAGGGAGATCATCTCGAATTCTGACACGGGCTTTTCTAGTTTCGACCTCATTAGGCTGATGTCGTGAAAGAAGGCATCGATAGATTCCCCTGGTTGCTGTTTACGCTCCAATAGGTCTCTCATCTCTTCGAAGCAGGTACGTCACCTTTTAAACCTTTCTAATAAACCGTGTTTTAGTGATTCCCAATCCGAAATGTTATCATTTTTTTGTTGTAACCAGAACCAGTCATATGATGGTCCCGATACCAATATATGAAATTCATTTAAGATGTCAGACCATGCCAGACGATAATGCCTTTGGAAATATTTCAATCGATAAACAAAATCTTCCGCGGACAAACTGTTTGGTTTACCGGAAAATTTTAATCCAAAGCTCTCATAAATGATGGTATTACTCTGGAAGTCATGTTTATACTGTTTTCCCTGTTTGTGGGTATAAATTGATACAAAGGGTTATTAGAAGTGTTCGGATAATTGTTGTTTATAGGGTTATTGTCCTGCATGGGTCTATAAGCAGGCATAGGGTCGTGTTCAAGAATAGAATTGTTTTGGGATATAGAGCTATTGCTTGACATAAGGTTGTATGGAGGGACAGAATTTTTGGTGGTCATTTGTTGAGGTATATTGTTGGTCATGGCGTCATCGGCAGGCAGATCAGGTTTTGATGGAGGATCTTTCCGTATCTTAATAGATAGTTTTAAGACGGCCTCACTTAATTTACCTATGACACTATACACTTTTTCTAACTCTTTGGCTACAGTGCCTTGTACCATGTATTGAAAATTAGCTTGCGCGTGGTTTAAGCTTTCATGCAGTAGACTTCTTACCAGTTTGTCAACTTCAACCGGGTGTTTTGGTGGATTTGGCTTTGTACTTGTTTAAGGAGAATTATTTTGTGGTTCCACTAGAGCCGGGTTGTTATTTATTTTAGTATCTGACAAATCCCTAATTGATGGGTCAGTATTGCCCTTAGGCTGTGATATTTTGGAACTTTTCTGGTTTTTCTTTTGTTTGGGTAGTGGTGACGAGACTGAATATCTGCTCAAGTCAAAAAGTAAAGAGCGGTCTCTTTTGTTTTTGACTTTTCTAACTGTGGCTTTTGAACTCATGAGAATTTAATATCGAATTTAAAGTTTATGTTGGGCGATAGTAAAATTTAAAAATATTAAATAAAAGTGGCCAATTTATTTATAGCTTAAAATATTTAAAATAAAAATAGAATTACTATTAGCTTAAAATAAATATAATAAATGATTTGGACCATATAAGTTGTTATGTAAAAATTATACTAAGATACAGTTACACACAAAAAAAATAAAGTTAGTTTTTTTAAATCAACACAGACAACGAATACGAGAGGATCTAAGAGGTATTTTCAGTTACTCGTATAGATAAAGTATGTGGTTTTATTTATTTATTTTTTTTAACGAAACATTTTTCTAATTATTTGTGTCCTTAGAAGGTTGCCATGGACGTATTGCTAGACAGTATTTTTGACATTACATTTTGAAAAAATTTGTAAAGTGCATTTACACGACATCTTATTCATGTCACGAATAAGAAGTTCGTGTGTTAAAGGTGTTATTTTATAGTGCAGTCTTAGATAACCATCGTCTAAGCAGTTACTGCACTTTTACCTTATACTAACCCCAGTGTATGGTCTTTAAAGGAAAACAACACAGAAACACTGAAGCAAAAAACATAAAGCACAGGTCACGAAAACAATACAATCTTTGTTACAATTTACGAACAAGAGTTATTGCACTAGACCTCATTTATATGGATCAGCATATCCTACTATCCTAATTTTCTAAACTATATATTGCTCCTAATAAGGAGCTGCAATATACGTTAGCCATTAGGAATGGCGATATTTCGATTTAATCTATTACACCCTATTGTCTATTGATCTGCACAGTGTTATTGCACAGAGTTAGTCAGGCATGTCCTCGCCATTTTAATTTAGGAGCGAAAGAATATTGTATTTTGAATATTGGGCGCCAATTGATATGTGCCACCTACTTCGGCACTCTGGTGGGGTTTCGATACTCTCAGTCGCGGCATCCCTATCAGGGGGATTCTTAACCCTTACCACCAGGAGTCCTAGGGGCTTAACAACTAGAAACAGAAGTTGGTCTTAATAAAGGACAAAACAACAATTGAAACCACACACCACACGAACATGACAAGGGAACTTGATGGCATTTATCCCCACACATAGCCCGTCCAACCTTGACCCTTTGATCCATAAACACAAATTTTAAAAGGGCCCCAAATTCCACACACACTTACCTAACGCGAAACCTACATCCTAGTATCCTCTCTCACAAACAAAAATTAGCACATCATATTAATATTCAAACTTAAAAACAAACATTTATTTTAGATATTGTCATTATCAATTAACCTATGAACATAAAACATTTAGAATCATAAAATCTGAACTACTAATACCGAATAATCTTAGAATAAGAAATGCTAGTCACTGACTCAGATTAACATCTTTCTTATACGCGACAACCAATGGGCTATTAACGACACAAAAACTCACAATTGACCTACCTAAAAGAGCTCTCTCAAGCGGCGAACGAACTTTTCATTGATAGGTCGATATATTTAAATTATTTCTCATATAAATTCGTCAAGGGTTAATCTTACACTCGCAACATAAAAGGCATCGGCATTAATAACCCTTACAAAAAAACTTAAACACTAAATCATTGAATAAGGACAACACACAATTAAAACTTAAAATACATTAATCTAAGACTAGTATTATTTATATAATTAATTTCCTTTTTTATCTTCTTCTTTTTTATGTTAAAAGTTCATTGGGTTTTAAGGCCGCAAGGAAAGTTCAAAATTTCGGAGCTATCTGCACGGTGTATCACAAAAATGTTACCTGGTCATCCCGGATACAACAAAAAGAGCATCACCACAGGCTCAGGGGGATTTACCAGTTACTTATGCCGCTCCTCGGACTTGTCAAATTTCGAATCGGGATTTTTGTCCAATTAAATTATTGAAAAATCTGCCCTCCTCCCGTTTGGAGGGTTTGTGGTGCAATATTAAAAGACAAAAGAAAACCCACCGAGCACCAGTCAGTAACAGACAAAATTAAGATTCACCATCAACACTTACTTTTAAGTTTGTCTGCCCAACACATGGATTAACACTCTTCAATAAAATAACTCAAAATTCGAACAAATTTATAAATCGTTTTATTTTTCTGTTTTAATATTTTCTTGGTGTAAATGTTGTAGTATCCCAACGTATAGGTTAGGAGCGGTAAAAGTTGTAGCGCGTTTTCCCACTTGGCCTCCATTTATACCCTCGGTGAAGCTGTTGGACAAAGATGTCTTGATTCTGAGAGGTAAGAGTTAACTCTGATTTTTATTTGTCTATTAGTAATATAGTTCTTGAAATAATTGTTTATTTTAGGCCCATTCTTCCAATTGACTAAGTATTGCATGCAAGCCGATTTTTTTCGAAAGCTTTTGTAAAACAAAACATATATATTGGTTTTGATGGAGTTATTTATATAAAAATAAAGGGATATAAGATTTTCAGCTATGGATTTGCCCTTTTTTAAATGTAAATTTAAATGGTCTAATGATTTTTTTTAGCAATAATAAACCACCACATTCTTTTAGCAATGTGAATCCGCTTCAGGAATAGGTACAAGAGGGCTATTTTTGTAAATTTGCTGAATGAATGAGTTAAATATGTTATTATAAAGTAAAACTAAGCGTACTTTACAATTCGGCCCTAGGTTCCTGATCATTTCATAGTTTATCCTGTCTATCCTTTGAGCTGATAAAGGGTGACATTTAATTCAAACATGTTTATATCTTCTATTGGATTCGCGTTTTCGTTAGCAACTAAATATGTATGGCCACGTGCATTAATATTCTTTGTTGACTGGAATTCATCAGAATTGATGAATCAGGCCACACTTCGCAAAAAACATTGGAAATGTCTGACGGGTCTGTTTGTACAGAGAAAGTAACTCCTAGAAGCTTTTCTGCAAACGTATTAATAGCGTAATTAATGTATCAAAAATTAAAAAGTTTATGTTTAAAAACCATACACAATGCCAGACAATGGTAGATGATATGGGGAAAAAGATGGAAACAATAGAAGAGACCATAGGGCTTTTGATCAATAATGGAGTAAACGAAAATAGGAAAGTGTACAAGAAATTAACTTTATTTCGCAATGAAGTAATTCATGTATTTTAAAATAAAAATTACTTTAAAACACAATAAAAGCATGCATTCCACATACTGTATGAATGGGTACATGAAGCAAATTTTTATGGTATACCAGTTATGAAGCAAATTTTGTATTGTAGAATGTTGCTTATGTAAAATATGAAAAATGAGTTTGCATTTCTAAAATTAAAGAAAAATATCCCCAGATAAATGATACTAACGCCTTTAAAAATAATATATGTATTTATTAAATCGTATGTGCTTTGATACATACAATTGTTTTAAAATAAAAATGACTACAACTATAATTATATCAGATAATATATATTTTTTAATAAAAATAAGTAAAAAAGCTTTAAGTTCGGCCGGGCCGAACTTTGTATAGCTTCCACCATTTGGAACGAACTTGGCAATTCTCACAAACAATAAAATCCGTTAAAAATTCTGTTAAAATCTTAAAGATAGCGAATCTAGCTATAATATTAGGGCCTATACGACGACATGGACCTGCGTAGGTAACATTTGTCATAAGCCATTACAATATTCAAATTCGAAACTTAAAAAAAATCGGTTATAATATCAACAATTCTGGTGAAAAATGTGCCTAAAATCATTAAAATGCCGAATATCGGGTGGTACTGTTATATGGGGGCTATACGAAGAGGTGGACCTGTGCAGACAATTTGCTGTCGTAGGCTGTAGTATCCATTACGATCTTAAAATAACAAATTTGAAACAATTCCGGTGAGTAAATTCGCTAAAATCATCAAAGTACCGAATATCGGGAGGTACTGTCATATGGGGGCTATACGAAGACGTGGACCTGCATAGACAATTCTCTGTCTTAGGCTGTAGTATCCATTACGAACTTCAAATACCAACTTTGAAACAATTCTGGTGAAAAATATCCATAAAATCATTAAAATACCGAATATCGGGAGGGCTATACGAAGACGTGGACCTGCACAGACAATTTTCTGTCTTAGGCTGTAGTATCCATTACGAACTTAAAATACAGATTTTGAAACAATTCCGGTTAATAAATTCGCTAAAATCATCAAAATACCGAATATCGGGAGGTACCGTTATATGGGGGATATACGAAGACGTGGACCTGCACAGACAATTTTCTATTTTAAGCTGTAGTATCCATTACGAACTTCAAATACCAAATTTGAAACTATTTCTGTGAATAATGTCGCTAAAATCATCAAACTACCGAATATCGGGAGGTACCGTTATGTGGGGGCTATACCAAACGAGGATCTACATGCCCCATTTTCAATACCAAGAGTCCTGCAGACATAACATACATTTGAGCAAAATTTTATCAATCTACTCCAATTCGTTCGGAAGCTAGAGTAATTTCCACAGACGGACATCGCTAAATCGACATAGAATTTTATGCTGATCAATAATATATATACTTTGTAGGGACTAAAATGTGTATTTCGAGGGGTTACAAACGGAATGACAAACATAATACATAAAGGGTATAAAAATGTATGAATATACATATTTTTTATCATTTAAAAATAAATTAAAAGAAACAAGTTAAAAATCAGTATGTTCGGCCAGGCCGAACTTTGAATACCCTCCACCATTTGGAACGAATTTGGAAATTTTCAAAAAATAAAGTCCTTAAATAATTCTGTTAAAATTTTAAAAATACCGAATATAGTCGTTATATTGGGGTCTATACAACGTGGACCACATTCAAATTTGAAACTTGAAATAAACGGTGAATAATGTAGTTAAAATCATCAAAATATAGTATATAGAAAGGTACAGTTATATCGGAGCTGTGCGAAGACCTAGACCAGCTTAGACAATTTTCTATCACAATGTCAAATACGACATTTCAAAAAAAATCGGTGGGTATTGTACCTACCGAATATAGAGAGGTACTGATATATGGGGCTTATATGAAGACCTGTACCTGCATAGACAGTTTTCTGTCACAGACTGTAGTTTCCATTACGTAATATGAAACAATTCTGTTAAATAATGACGCTAAAATCATCAAAATACTGAAGTTTGGGAGGTACCGTTATATGGGGGCTATACGAAGACGTGGACCTTCACAGACAATTTTCTTTCATAGGCTGTAGTATTCATTACGAATTTCAAATACCAAATTTGAAACAATTCCGGTGAATAACGTCGCTAAAATCATCAAAATACCGAATATCGGGAGGTACCGTTATATGGGGGCTATACGAAGACGTAGACCTGCACAGACAATTTTCTGTCTTAGGCTGTAGTATTTATTTCGAACTTCAAATACCGAATTTGAAACAATTCCGGTGAAAAATGTCGCTAAAATCATCAAAATACCGAAATACCTTCTATCTCAATTCGTTCGAAAGATAGCGTGATTACAACAGACAGACAGACGGACATTGCTAAATCGACTTAGATTTTTACGCTGATCTAGAATATATATACTTTGTTGGGTCTGACATGAGTATTTCGAGGAGTTACAAACGGAATGACAAAGTTAATATACCCTCCATACTATGGTGGAGGGTATAAAAAATCAGTTGCTTTTAATCAGATTATTTTTTATATAATTAAAGGGATTATTTTTAAAAGTAATTCTATCATATAATCATTGTTATTTTATCGTATCATTTGTTGGATTAAGAATTCATTTGACTGCAATATAACATTAATGCGTTAATCAAACTGAGCAAATGGTATAGTCATATATACAGTATCATATAGTCTTAAATGTTTTATCAGTTCATTTAACGTAGTTTATTGCACAAAGTAGATGTTCATGTATTTGTTTTAAAAACATTAAATTTAAACAAAAATTCAATAAATTTCCAAAAGTTTTGAGCTTTATGTGGGTATTCAAAATTGAACACAAAAAAATTTAAAACATAAATCTACGGCAGATACTACGTTATGTACTCTAATCTGAATCATGTTTACATAAACAAAAGTTTCACTAATTTTCATGGGATCTTATTGGGTGGAAACATTTTTTTCATGTTCTCCTAATCACTAACGCTGAATCACCAAACAAAACAATAGATCTTATTGTGTCCTGTAAAGAATACTTTCTTCAATACAATGTCCAATTGCCAAAAATTCTTCACCCTGAGTGTACTTTTTTTCGATGTCAATCAGAAAAAATTGACGTATATAAATTTTCACATAAGTATATATTTATATTGTCATTCAAACGTGACTTTACTTACCAATTGTTGTCCAATCGAACTTTTGCATCATTATCATTGCCAATTTCAGAAAACCTAAGGTGACTAATGTTATAGAATTACGGATAATCTCTATTTTGGGAGCGATTCACCAGTATTTGATTGTGAAAGAACAAATTGTAGACTGTAGTTTTTGAAGTTTCTACAATATTAAGCGAACTTTCCGTCCGAGTGGTATCTCCAAACGACTGGTTTGGCGTTAAACAATTGGAAAATTAAGCACCCCTAATATTTGTAATTCAAATGAATTATGTCTCCAGCACAGAACGCTTTCGATTTGATAATATTTAATAATTTTTAACACAGGAATATAACACAATAGCTCTGAAATTAATATAATAATATAAACACGAGTTTGGATCAACTTCATAGGAAATATAATGGGGTCTATATTGGACATTGAAGTCCAATTCGATAATAGCAATAATTTTAAAAATACATCTTCGCTACTTAGCTGTATGTACTTTTTTATATGAATATCCCTTATGGTCCCAATATCTTTTATATCTGCATCATCAATCAAATTCCAAATCAAATAAATGAGCAAATGTTAACTGATATTTTCGAGCTAATGATTTTCGTGATTTAATGGCACGCGAATATATTTTAAATTGGAACAGTGTTGGCATGTTTGTTCCGGATAACGTAATATTTTGTTGTTGAAAAATAGTTAGGCTTAATCCTATAATTGTTGTTTTTATAAAAACAACGTTTGATTATTAGTGTAGAAAGATGACAATATTTGCCAGGGGGTAAGGCAGGAAACTCCTATGTTTCGGAAAGAGCTTTTTTTACCCAAGTGTCGAGGTCGAAAGCTCAATATACAAGCCGAGACAATGGTAGATGATATGGGGGAAAATATGGAAACAATAGAAGAGACCCTAGGACTTTTAATCAATAATGGAGTAATCGAAAATAGGAAAGTGTACAAGAAATAAATGTTTTTCGCCATTAAGTAATTCAATTCATTAAAAAATAACTACTTTAAAACACGAAAAAAAACAGGCATTCCATATACTGTATGAATGGGTACATGAAGCAAATTTTTATGGTATACCAGTTATGAAACAAATTTCGTATTGTAGAATGTTGCTTATGTAAAATATGAAAAATGAGTTTGTATTTCTAAAATTAAAAAATATATATCCCCAGATGAATGATACTAACGCCTTTAAAAATAATGTATGTATTTATTAAATCGTATGTGCTTTGATACATACAATTGTTTTAAAATAAAAATGATTTCAAATATAATCAAATCAGATAATATTATATATTTTAATAAAAATAAGTAAAAAAGCCGTAAGTTTGACCGGGCCGAACTTTGAATACCCTCCGCCATTTGGAACGAACTTGGCAATTATCAAAAACAATAAAATCCGTTAAAAATTTTGTTAAAATCTTAAAGATAGCGAATCTAGCTATAATATTAGGGTCTATACGACGACATGAACCTGCGTAGGTGACATTTGTCATAAGCCATTACAATATTCAAATGCGAAACTTAAAAAAAAATCGGTTATAATACAATAAAATCAAAATACCGAATATCGGGAGGTACCGTTATATGGGGGCTATACGAAGACGTGGACCTGCACAGACAATTTTCTGTCTTAGGCTGTAGTATCCATTATGAACTTTAAATACCAAATTTGAAACAATTCCGGTGAGCAAATTCTCTAAAATCATCAAAATACCAAATATCGGGAGGTACCGTTATATGGGGGCTATACCAAAACGTGGACCTACTTGCCCCATTTTCAATACCAAAAGTCCTGCAGATTAACATACATATGAGCAAAATTTTATCAATCTAATTCAATTCGTTCGGTATTTTGATGATTTTAGCTACACTATTTACCGGAATTATTTCAAATTTTGTATTTGAAGTTCGTAAGGAATACTACAGCCTATGACAGAAAATTGTCTGTGCAGGTCCACGTTTTATAACCCCCATGGTACCTACCTATATTCGGTAAT